ACAGTGTAAACAGAGTAGGTAAATATTCAAAATGTCCAGAAAAATTTGTCGTAGGAAAAAAGCGATTATTTTCCCAGACTGTTCCAATATAAATATTAGATTTTATAAAAAATGGCCTTGCACTCAGACCAAACTTACTGATTTTCACGAATTTTGGGATGCTAAACTCGAATCCAAAGTCGGAATTGCTCCATCACCCACCAGTTTTGAGAAAATCACCCCTAAATTGTATAAGTTTACAGGGTAGCCCCGAGGTAATGGGCCAAAATTCATGGGTAGATTCCCGAAGCAAAAATATTGCGATTTAGCCGAATTTACCTTAGTCGATAGTTAAAGAGATACAGGGTGTTAAATGTAAAATATTATTTTAGTTTATTTCCATTTATTTCTCAATAAATGCAAATATCTACACAAAATTTTGGGGTTTGGGGTTGTCGGGGTAGAGGAATTGAAATTTGTTCACATTTTGGTTATAGTTCATAGAGGGCGCCAGCTGCCGTAGATTGAATGTGTTGGAAACGACATAACTTGTTTGTACTTTAAGTTATCTCATCTTTGGTATCAAATTCTTATTTTCCAACTTTTTTTACAAAAAAAAGGTAGACTTTATGAAAGTAGCTATCCCGCACCGTTTCCAAGATATTCGGCTTTGAAACTACCAATGCTAATGCTTGACATAATTAAAATAATTTAGAAATGTCAAAAACAAGGGTTTATTTAGAATTAAAAATTATAATGCTAATAGTTGAAATAATTAAAGTAATTTAGAAATGTCAAAAACAAGGGTTTATTTAGAATTAAAAATTGTAATGAACAGTAAAATAGTAAACATTAGTAAAAAAATATGCCTTTTGACAATAATTGCTCAAAATGTCCACCTCTAAGTTCAATACATTTATCAATGCGTTTATTAAAAAAAATGTCTTATTTTAAAGTATAAATCCTTAACGCGAAATGACTTTGCAACATTTAAAACCTGCTGCTAAAGTTCTTCTCAGGTGTTTATATTTTCTCCATAAACAACTGAATTCATGTAACTCCAAAAACGAAAATCTCGGCATTCTATCTCACATTTATGTATACGAGCATACAATTTAAAATGTAAGCTAATTGTAAGATGTAATTTTAATTAGGTACAAATAATACTTAATAGAAATTAGCATACAAATGGCAGTAATAAGACAAGTGGAAAACGTCAATTACTTGATTTTCCAAAATCCAACTTAAGAAACTTTGCCGCTAAATTAATAATACCTGTATAGGTACTTAATTTCAATTTAATGGAAGCTTCAAAGCCAAATATCTCGAAAACGGTGCGAGATAGCTACTTTTCCTTTTTTGCGTAAAAAAAGTTGGAAAATAAGAATTTGATACCAAAGATGAGATACCTTAAAATACAAAAAAGTTATGTCGTTTTTAACACATTCAATCTGCTGCAGCTAGCGCCCTCTATAAACTTTAACCAAAATGTGAACAGGTTTCAATTCCTCTGCCCAAAGAACTCCAAACCCCAAAATTTTGTGAGGAAATTTGCATTTGTTAAGGAATAAATGAAAAAAAAGTGAAATAATATTTTACATTTAACATCCTGTATCTCTTTAACTATCAACTTTTGGACTAAGGTAAGTTCGGCTATTTCGCAATAATTTTGCTTGAAGAATCTACTCATTAATTCTGGCCCAGTACCTCGGGACCACTTTGTATATGTGATGTTAATGGGGTCTAATCGTGGATTTAAGGGTGGTTTTATGAAAGCTTGGGTCGATGGAATAATTACGTCTATGGAATTGAATTCAGAGCCTCGAAATACTTAAGGATATAGTTTCCTAATCACCTTTAATTGAGAATGGACAACAGATAAGATTTCTTAAAAATTGTGACCCATGAAAACAATATGGCTTATTTGGTTTGCCAGGGACGGACTAACTGAAGCACAATAATGTCAATTTTTTTACGATACAGGCACAAAAATAATATTTTTAGATAGCTTGAACCTTAAACAAAAAAAAAGGCAATCATGGATGATATCGATAAAATGAACTGTTTTCGAGAAAAAACTGTTTTTGTTTAATATGATTTTTATTACATCCGTAAGTAAAAGAAAAGAAATAAATTGCATTCTTTCTGTGCCTATTTAAAAAACTATCAGTTTTATTTACAATTGTTTTTTCTTGAAAATAATTAAATTACAGTTATTAAAAAAACATCGATATTCAGGGGTGTCCTTTAGAAGCCTGTATCTCCGTAGAGGGGTCGTATAGGGAAAATTTTTATAGGAACTTGTCATGTTATTTTAACGTCCCCTGTATGAATCCAAGAGTTTGTCCACACGAACATTTTTAGTCCTCGACTAGGGAAAATTTTCAAAATATTCGTAAGCTTGATAAAATTTAAGTACTAACGACATTATAATCCAGTATTTTTTATTTATGTGCATTTTTCACCCTCATATTTTTGCTAAGACAAAAGTAGTTCAACAAAAACAACCCTCGACTGAGTTTTTGACTAACTTTCGAAAGAAAATACGGATCGACAAGAATCAAAGCGACTCGATGGCGAATTTCAGGCGCGGACAACCTGCAGCGAAGAAATCGACCGCTGAAGACATTCCTCGCTGAAGGATCGGGCGCCAGCGAGTGCCCCGGGCAGGTGTGCGTCCGCATTGGCATGCCACGGCCTCCACGGCACCTCTCTAACTCTAAGAGCCAGTTGGCTGCAAGAAGTGGTCGGCGAGCGATCGCAAAAATCGTCGCGGCTTTAACTGCACAAGTCCATTCTAGCGGTCTGTGACTAAGTTCGATTCTATTTTGGTAAAATTGGATTTCGTTTGTTGCTCTGTGGTGTTTGTGGTGACCCATCGGAAAGGAATTGTAAGAAGAGGGCGGCGTCTTGGTAAGTCGCTGGAGATGTATGAAGATGTCGATGGTTTTGTACAGGGTGAGTAACATTTTTGTCTGATGACTTCGAGAGATGATAATACGATAATNTTAAAGAGAACATTTACCAAAAAAATTCCCTTTTCAAATTTTTGCACTTCCGTAAATTTTGAGGGTATATACCAATTTGGAAAGCTTGGAAAGCAAATTTTTTAAAATTCCGCTTGTAATTAGTCTTTATTTACGAATTTCTGCCACTCATTAAATCACTCCGTTAACAATCCCATTTCCGTGTTTTTCTTATACAGGGTGTCCTGGACTTTACCTAGTGATACAACGCAGAAAAAGAAAATGGCTCTCATAAATATGTCATAAAATGAATTTTTTCCCTAGATATACGTTTGAAACTTGAAACAGGTATCAGGGAAAATTTTTGTTAGTTTGGTATACGCCCTATTTTGAAATAAACAATGATCGTACTTTCTATTTGTTATATATAAATATATATTGATTTGTAACTAGTACAAGAAAATAGATATTTACATTTTTAAGCTTCAATTTTTGTTATTTAAAACAAGCCAATTTTATACAGAGTGATGCCTCTCTTCAAAATAAACAAAGAACCATTCAGTTTCAAACTATTAAAGGTTCAGACTTGAAATTAAGTGCAATTTATAATTCTTTCATAGTAATATATCTTCATGTAAAATTTGAACAAAAGGTAACCATTTGAAGTCGAAATTAGAAAAAAATTATATAAGGATTTTAACTGCTTAAAGAATGTTTGATGTTAAATCGAATCTTTTGCACCATATATGGATAAACCACTTTCAACAAAAATTTTTGTTCGACCCCAAAAGCACTTAATATTGTTAATATTTTCGGATTTTTATGCGTAAATCGACAAAAAAAGCTAAAAATATATAAGAGTTGGAATGATCCATCCATTTATGAATGAAAATTCTTTTTAACGTCAAATATGTAACTATTTTTATTTTAACAAATCAAACACCTCACGCCTTCCTAATTACGACTAACACCGATCAAAATTAAATTTTTCTTTCCAAAAGTTTTTGAGTTGTTATTTATACACACTTTTCTCCAGTTACTTTATAGCTAGAGAAATTATTAACAATAAATACGAAAATATACCATTTGTACACGATTTTGACCTTTTAGAAAAACCTTGACTAAAAACATTAAAAAATTGTATTGTAGTTACGGTAAAACCTAGTTTACAATAGTTGTATTGAAACTGTGCTAAAATATAAATTACATTAATACAAACAATTAATAAATATCATTAGATTTGGTATCTGCGATTTTGTTATACGCTTACATTCGAATTTTATCAGTTCAATTATAAGTTGGTTAGTTCCTTAAGTCTATTCAGTTATTTCTAGAAAGCGTGCTAATAAGGCATTATCCATTTTTACTAAAATTATGCAGTCAGGGAGTAGGAATGGGTAACTATAGATTTACGTAACATAATATTTTATTTATTTTTATTAATTTACCTTTCTGGTTAAGAATTCTTCAAATTGTGGAATTGAATTTTCATAAAGTTAAAACAACATAATCAAAATTGAATTATCTACACTACACAATTTTACTCCGATATAAAATTTTTAGAACATACAAGAACATACATAGAAGGAATAAAATATTTTTTAGTTGTAAAAGTCATTAAGTATTTAAGTACCTGTCCATTTAATTAAATCGAGAGGTTCAACGACATATGTTGAAACAAATGCTTAAACTTAATTTCAACAGTTTCTCAACTGTTTGGAAATGTGTCCTGGCCAACTGTTATTTCTGATAGATTCGTAGATAGTTGTGGCAAAATTCTTCAGTTCATTTTAGTTTCTTATACCTGATGTCTCGAAAAAGTAAATTAGAATTCCGTCATTTTGGCCTGACTTTCAAAAACAAAAGATAAGCGTTAATAGGCAATCATGATTTTTTTGTTAATTTGCGTCTTATACTCTCAGTTTTAATTTCATCCTTTGTCAGATTTTATTTCGGCTGTTCTATGCTTTCAAACGTCTGCATAAACCACTAGTCAGACTGTGCATTTAAATATTTATAGTGTTACAAATTATAGATATACAAGCCATTAACATATGAAGGTCAAATATGATTTTAATAAACTCTAAAAAAGTACATATCTGCAAACTTCCTCGAATGTTACTTTTTGATTTTTTTTGGACACGCTTTATAATCAAATAAGTAAATAAATAAATAAAATAAAATTTTTAACAAATTACCTAAATTTAACAACTACATTGGTGGCCCCAAAAAAAAAACCGATTATTTTTCGTGTCTGTTGTGAAAATATGTTAGTTTATCATGTTTTAAGAGACCCCTCAAAAAATCAGCTCAAGATTTTTAAAAATTTCTAAAATCGTCAAATATATAATTTTTTCTTTTAATTCTTTTTCTCGTTATTTTATCATTTTCTAGGTTGAAAAAAATTTCGATTCTGAAAATTTCAAATTTAATTTCTATAAGTCACTCATAATTATTTTAACTTTCAAAGTAGTGTACCTAAAATGTTTTCGAGGGACCTCTAAAAATAAATATCAACGAACTAATAATTTTTTTTATTGAATTTGGTGAACAAAAAAATAGAAATAAATCACGAGACACTTAAAAAACTTCTCGAGGCAAAATTTACTACCACACTGTGAGTATTAAATATTTATAATTTTTTAATTTTTTAAAATTTAAGTGTCGTAATTTATTTCTATTCTTTTGTTCATCAAATTCAATAAAAAATATATCGATTTGAAATTTTCAGATTTTTTTCAACCTAGAAAATGATAAAATAACGAGAAAAAAATTTAAAAAAATTCAATATTTGACGATTTTGTAAATTTAAAAATCTTGAGCGACCTCTAAAAAAATTTTTTTTTGAGCTGATTTTTTGAGGGGGCTCTTAAAACGTGATAAACTAACATATTTTCACAAGAGACATGAAAAAAAATATTCGTTTTTTTTGGGCCACCCTAATGTGTATCCTGAATTACATTATTGTTTATATTTTTTTTTAGTAAAAAGAAAATATTGTTCGTTATTTAACTTTCCCTATGACTACACTCACTTGAAATATCACATGTTGAGTACCGCTTTATTGGACAAATTTACTACTGATAAAACTATGATACTGACCTGAGTTTATAATTTAGTACTCCTTGCTTATGTTATTAATTTTATAAAAAAAAATAAAAAATCAAAGATTTAAACCAAGGTTGCAGCTTAAATAGGTGTATTTAGAACTCATTATTTTTCTTTCATAAATTTTTTTCTATTCCCAAAAATATCCGTTGGTGTTTATGGTGGCGTGTGTATTGTAGACAATATAATTTGTTGCGTTTTAATAAATAATGGGTACGCCTATGTCCTGGGGGTCAGTTCTGACAGCCCTAACCATAAGTCGTCTGATTCAGAAAAAAGAGATAAAGTAAACAAAAGCATATCATTTCATAAAAAAGAGACAATCGCCTGACATAACAAATGCCAGTCCGTAGTCTCTTCAGAGACGTCAACGCTAATCTTTCGTTTTTTTTTTTAATATCAGATCAAAAATAGCGGTGTTAAAACTTGTGGCGTTCTTTTACAAGACAAAATATTTAAAAAGATCAAGAGATCATCCTAGAAGAAACTCTGAAAAGACTTCCAGGACGCCTCGTGCCCGAACCAAGAATTACCGCAGACAATACGATGTAATTTCCTATTTAATGTCAAGGCGGTCACGTTGCTGGTGGCTAGAAAAAAATCCGCGGCGCGTTTCTGCCATTTTCAGAACGAAGATGACACCGATACTTTCACGAGAGGTGCGCGAGGTTAGAGTTTAAATAAAATGTGTATTGTTAGGTAACACAATTTGCGGCCATAATAAGCTTTTATTGGGCAGGATGAATTATGCCCGTCTCGTATCCGGCTGTGAAAAATTCGACCCGGCATCTCCGAGAGGCGAATTCCAAGGCGGTTATGCCATCGACGACAATGCGGGTAATATCGAGTACAAATAGTAACATAAACACACATTAGGAGTACTCAAAAAAAATGTCAATGAACCACCGGGTAATGGTTTATTTACGGAACGTATCCGATATGCAAATCGTTGTTTATTGTTAAATATTTATAGTCTCCTTGGATATGGGATAACTTTTTCGTTTATTAAAATACATCTTTTACAACTATCAACCTTCAAAGTAAAATTTTTTATTTGACTGGCTATTTCTGCTACATTGAAGCAGAAATATTTTTACATAAATACACCCTTGTTACAGAAAGGTTCAGCTAAAAGGTTGATTTTATAAATTTAGTTAGTTTGTTATAATTACATTTTTTTATTGTTTTATTAAATATTGAAGTATCATCTTATTTCATAGGTAGGTACCTCATTAAATTTACAACTAAAATTTAAATGCCTAAATTATAATAATACTTGCATAACAATAGTTATTTTTGTATCTAGAACACGAAATGGTATTCTACGTTCAAGAATGAAGTTATTTCAAGAATATCCTTTCGAGCATTCGAAATGCAAACAATATTTTTTCGAAAATAAGACAATTGTGTTATATATACAACAACAACTTAATTTATATTTGAAATTTGAACCGTGTTGGAATCGAGACGGTTAATTCATATTCTAAGTGTTTAATTCAAAATGAGCTCGGAAAGTGAAGACGAGCATTTACCAGGGGAAGTACTAGAAGCGGCACAAAGTGCTGTTTCACAATTAATCCCCAACAAATCGTCGAGTAGTATTAGATTGCCTACAACGAATGAATTCAAAGGGTGGTGTAGTTCGAAGAAAATTCAAAAAGTGTTCGAAGCGGTATTATTGACATATTTCGAACTGAAAATTAATAAAATTAATCTTTCGACGTTATGGTCAGTATATGCTAAATAGTGCACGAGTTCCAAATAAAAAATTTGAAGAGCAAATCAGTTGGATACCGTCCAAAAAAGTCCAAAAGAGCCAAAAGGCTCTATATAAAATAA